AGCACGGTGCTGGCGCCAGCAGGAGCCACCTGGGCTCAGAGAAGAGGAAACCCAGGCCTGACCTCCCCAATAGACCGCAAGCGCTGTGAGGGCCTCTCATACTGTGTGTCCCAGCGCTCAGCACCGAGGGTGCACTTAGTAGGTGCTCATTGATGTGCTGACTCGCTCTTCCTGTGTGTGAGCTTGTGCAGTGGCCCCCTGGCCCTGCAGAACCTAGGGCTCCTGGTGCTGTGGTTTCTAAAAGTGGCAAAGGCAGCTTTTATGAGCCGTCTTCACTCCTGGTAAAAGCGCCCCTTTAACGACAGCTGAGGACTGTGGCTGCTGAAGCCACCGCGGGCGGCCGGCCTGTGGCCCTTCGTGCGCCTGACCTTTCAGCCTGGCCGATGCCTTTCTTATTGGGAATGACGTACTGCTTTTATTTCTTCCCCAGACATTAAACATGAATCAAAAGCATGAGATGATTCACTGGAAGTTTTCTTCCAAGTTTAAAAACACAAAAGGAAATGTGTTTGGGTTCGTGTGCTGAGCCATAAGTGATACCAGACAGGCATTTGGGGCAGCCTCCCGCCAGGGGCACGGCCGGCCAGGGGCAGCCCCTTGCAGAGTGGACCTTGCCCGGCGGACGGAGCCCGTTATCAGTGGACACAGAACCCAGGGGGCCATGCGTGTCTTTAAAATACCTCTTAAGTCTAACATTTATAACGAGAGGCCCGATGCACGAAATTGGTGCAAGAGTAGGCCTTCCTTCCCCTGCTGCTGGCCCCGACTTCCCTCTGGCACCTGGGACCCAGGCTTCCCTCCGGCCACCAGCAGGCACCAGAACCTGGGCTTTCCTCCAGCCCCAGCTTCGTCAGGAAGGATGTCCGGAATGACATCTGGTCTAATTAGCATATTACCCTTTTATTATAGATGACGTTTCTTACAGTTTCTATCCAGGATATCTTAGAATGTGGCCAAACCACAGTGGTTCATTTGGGCCCATGAATTGAAGCTTTAATCATCGCTGAAGCAGGAACCTGGCAGCGCTCAGCTTTTCACCGTCCACTGGGAGACAGGCTAAGCGGGTGATCTGCCAACCGAGGTCCCGGGGGGAGGGATCGATCCCAGCTGAGTGGGCCAACTTCCCCGCCACATGGAAGCCGCCCTGGGGTCCACGCAGAGACCCTAAGACCTTGTGTGGGCTTGAGGGCGCCTCGGGCCTCGTTGTCCAAAGTCGTCTTGCACAGACGAGGAAAGTGACGGCCGAGATCACCAGGCCGCGACTCCGTTCTGAAGGGGAAATGGCCGATGTCCTAGTAGCAGCCAGGTCTTACCTCCTCTCCAGACGCCACTCCTCGCCCTGCCCCACGGCGCTGTCCTTCCGCCCTCCGCCTTTCCCTAAAAGAGAATTCACAGGCACTTAAAAAAAAATGTCTTTATTGATTTCAGAGAGAGGAAGGAAGAGAGAGAGAGAAACATCAATGATGAGACTCACTGATCGGCTGCCGCCTGCAGGCCCCACACTGGGGATGGAGCCCGCAACCTGGACATGTGTCCTGACCGGGAATCAAACTGTGACCCCTGGTTCATAGGTCAGCGCTCAGCCACGGAGCCGCACTGGCCGGACTCACGGCACTTTTCCAGGTGTTTGTGGACGAAGACCTGACGAACTGGAACTGACCGTCCAGGGGTTAGACCGAGTCCCTGGGCTGATGGCATGTTTCCGCTCCCTGCCCTCCCTAATGCATTTGTTCATCTACCCTGCGGGTCGGTCCTGGTCTCTGCTGTCACACTGTGAGTCCTGTCGCCGCTCAGGGGGATGCCTGGGAGGTGACAGGCCCAGAGCTGTGTGGCTGGGACCGGCGTCAGCTGGGAGTGGTCCCCCAGAAACTCTGGCCTGAGAATCATTGAGGCCAAGACGCTGTCCTGAGCTCCCTGCCTCCCAGGATAAGTTGGAGCCTGGCCTGCCCCCTCTCCCGCCAGGGCCCCCTAAGCCAGCCCTGCCCAGCCACGCTGCTTCCCCACCTCACACCTCCAGCGCACGGCGGCTCCCCGGGGCGTGGCCTTGTCCACGCGAACGTTGTCCCCGATGCTCCGACTCCGCCACGGCTTCTTCACGTCAGGCCCACAGCGGTCCCTTTTACACCTCACGGTCCCCGTGCATAAAATCCCTGTGCGAGCTCAGCGAGTGTGCAAAGTGGCTGTGGAATGAATGAGTGAGTGTGCGAAGTGGCTGTGGAATGAATGAGTGTGTGAAGTGGCTGTGGAATGAATGTGTGAAGTGGCTGTGGAATGAGTGAGTGTGCGACATGGCTATGGAGTGAATGAGTGAGTGTGTGAAGTGGCTGTGGAGTGAATGAGTGAGTGAGTGTGTAAAGTGGCTGTGGAATGAGTGAGTGTGTGAAGTGCCTGTGGAGTGAATGAGTGAGTGAGTGGTAAATGTGGAGTGAATGAGTGAGTGTGTGAAGTGGCTGTGGAATGAGTGAGTGGTAAACGTGGCTGTGGAGTGAATGAGTGAGTGTGTGAAGTGGCTGTGGAGTGAATGAATGAGTGAGTGTGTAAAGTGGCTGTGGAGTGAATGAGTGAGTGAGTGTGTGAAGTGGCTGTGGAGTGAATGAGTGAGTGAGTGGTAACCGTGGCTCATGCCGTTTTCTCTAAGAGGAAATTCCCCGAGTCCTGGTCGCTGCTCCTGGGATGTGGTGGGAAGGCCCTCCCCTGAGAGGCCACCCCCTGGGGATGGCGGTCAGGGTGTCCCTGGGCCAACAACCAGGCAGCACCCGGGGCCTGGGCTGCAGCC